AGTTCTTGCTACTTCATGAACACATGGTATAAAATTACAGAAGCTACTTGAAGAGTTTTTTTCTCTTTGGTAACTGTTAGATAGCATAGTACTGTAATCTTGAGAGACAAATAATTTCTCTAATAAATATTAGCAATTTTATCTATTAGCTTCTTTTATGTAGATTTGGATTTGAAGGTAAGTAATTGATATAAAATTATAAGACTGATTCTACCTTCTTAAATATTTGATGACAGGTTTATGTCTCAGTGAGTTGCAACAACCACTTACGTTTTCTCAAAAATATTAACTTTTCTCAAGCCAGAAAGATCTCTTGTGACTCATTTAGGTTGAAGAAGTCATGCCCAATTCCTTTATCACTGTCCTGAGGTGTAATAGCTTTTAAGCTGAAAATGTCCTAAATAGAGCTCCCGAATATATATTTTCCAATAATAGTTTCACTGAATGGCTTTCCACTGAATTATAAAATGAAAAAAATTTACTTTACAGGAAATAAGAAAAATTTTATTTTGTTATTTGTTTTATTAATGTTTGTTAAGGATGTACCACAGTATTTAATAATATAATTTTCTTCTGAATATTGTTGATATAACATGGTAACAAATAATAATTTAATTTAATAGAAAGATTGGATGATGTTTTCAACTCCAATTTTCAGTGTTTCACTTTATGTAGAGAACAGCATTTTATTATGCATGTGGCAGAGTTTCATATGATGCTATCATCAGTCATTTTATGGCTAAATAGTCTTCTTGTTTTCATTTCAGATTTAGTTCCGGTTAGTCTTGGTAAAGGTTAAGTTTGTACTAGAAGTTTACAGGGCTCAGAAATCTGGTTAATTCTACAGAATCTTAACTCAAACAGTAATTAGAGGAGATTAGTCTTGATCAGTAACACACTGAATATTTTTCATCATTTCTAATGTCTTCTCAAGATAGATAGCTAAGAAGGCTAGAAGAATCACATTTACTTTGACACTTTGGAAATGTGTGTTTTAAACACTTAAACTTCTGATTTATTAATAATTTATGGTGCTTGTTTACTATTCATTCCTTTTACCTGTGTGTGTTAATAGATACTATTTTGCTCTGGAACAATTAGAACTTTTGTAAGTAGAAATATTTCAATATTGCATAGTAAAAAAAAAAAAAAATCCCTCTTAAAATCTTTATCTTTGTTTGCTAATTCGTGTACAGGCCAGACATCCTATAGTGTTCCTATGATTTACAGTTTTTATTGACAAAACTTCAATGAAGTCTAAATTTAGATTTCAGCCAGATATGATAGAATTCCTCTGATTGTACCATTTGCATAGTAATTTTACTTGGATTCAGGAAAGACAAAAATTTCCTAGAAACCTGTCAGTTTATATAAGATCTGTGACTCAATGTTTTAAGTGACTTCGTGGCTGCAACAGAAGTATGAATGGTTTAATGTGTAGCAGGAAAATAAAAATGCATTACCTGGGAATCAAAAATCCCTGACATTTCACTAATGCTTTGTGAAGAAATTTAAAACATGCTATAGAAAAACTGAACTTTTTTTTTTTTCATGAAGATCCCCCAAAAAATGACAACATAAGCATTATTGATGGGGTTTTTAAAAATAAATAGTTAGATAAAGAGATTTTAACAGACAAATATAGTTGGTTATAGATTATTTTATATACTTTTTGTAAAACTTCTGCCTTGGAAATACCAGTATGTTTGTAGGACATATTGTTTGCCTTCCCCTCTACAGAGTTCAGACTTTGAGTATGCCCTCCCTCCCAGATTTTTGTTATAACATTTTGTATACACAATATTGTTATGTAGTTAAAGATTGCTGCACTTTACACATTTCAGTGTCCTTTGACCTCCCAAATCAGATTCTTCCTATATAATATGCAGTTAACTGTAATAATTAAATTGCCTACTCTCAAGTGGAGCCATGTAGAAATAACTATTTCTGGAATTAACTGGGGGCCTTGCAGAATAAATAGTAAGTTACCATGACACTGAATTTCAGTTTACTGCACTGACATAAGTGTTGTTAATTTTTTTTTCAATAATGTTGTTTAATTTGACTTAAAAATAAAATGTAAAAAAAATATTGTAAATATGTTTCCTTTCAATATTAAGCTACAAACCATCTTTCCCTGTGGATCTTGCTCTTGTAAAAATACATTGTCCTACATTGCCCTGCAGACTATTTAATAATCAAGCTTCAGTTACAGTCTATAAATGTTCCTAAGCAACCACAACCCACTTTAAATATGCTAGTCAATTAGCTCTAGACACCCTGTTTCAGTCTTTGTCTCTATTTTTTCTTTCTGGCTTGAAACATAAAAGACAGAGAGATAGAGGGAGTATTTTAAAATAATACCTTGTACTGATCAAGGGTGATGCTGTTAAATAGCACCTCTGCAAACAAACGCAGACCTTGGGCAGCCCCTGTCCAGGAGTACAGTGATATGTGTGCCCATCAATCCCTTATCAACATATAAGCCAGAAAGAACAGAAACTTATCTGGCTAATGCCAACAGGGAAAATAAAAAAGAAAGATAGGTGTTGGTGACTGTGGGAAGAATAGCTTCTCACATGTTATCCAATGTTTCCTTTCTGTGTTTTTAAATATTTACATTTTTCCACTATAAAAAAAAAAGGTTAGGGGGAAAAAAAACCCCCACCCTTTTGAAGTTTTTTTCTTTTGAAGTTTTTTTGTTAAAAAAACCATTTTTTGGTTTTTTTTTTAGGGGAAACTTTTAATTATTTTTTTTTTTTTTCAAAATTTTATTCCCGTTTAATTTTGAACATAGAAGTATGTCTTAGTTAAATTGACTTACCCTGTTAATCTGTTATCTTTTTTTAATCTTCTCATAATAATAAATTCCAGTTTTTTCCTAGAAGCGCAATAACCTTTCTTACTTGGTATGTTCAGTTTTCCTTATTATCTTTAATGCTTTTCACTCTGTATTATTGTCTGTAAACATATTAGTGAGGAATATATGAGAAAAAAATTCTGGCTTAATTTCACTGTCTCTTATGGCTTGGAGTATCTCCCTCCACTGAGGCTGGTACAGAACATAGTTTGTATTTACTGTGATTATTCAATATGATTTACCTAAGCAAAGATGAATTCTGCTGGAACTTCATACCTAACAACAAGTTTTTTCTGGACTCCTGGTATTGTCGCTCCCATTTAACATAAGATTGAGAGTGACATAAACCATAAAAATTCCATGGAGATAGGGGGGCTAGAGAGAGGCTAACGTGTGTGTCTGGTAACTTATTTAATTCCCTAGCTATATTTTTGTGTTGCTTTCCAGTTGGTATCATATTCTATAAGCAGTACAATAAAAGTAATAATGGTCATGTTTATAATACAATAGTGCCCCTGGGATATGAAGTAGCTAATAAAGGAAATTTTGGGAAATGTAAGAACGGCACAATTATATAATATTACTACCCTTAGGCATGTATTCACATGACTGCTCTTTAGGGAGTTTCTGAAGCTAGAGGGATTATCAGTGTATTTATGGGATTTTTCTTTCTTGAGCCTATGGCATATTTTGAGTCCCAAGTAACTTTCTGCAAGAAGTTTCAGATTTCCCCTAGAAGCTGCATTTATTCTGAACTTTACTTCAGTTTTTTTCAGAGTGTAGTTTTAATACTGAAATAAAATACAAATGTTTGGTTTCTTCTTTTGATTTTTACACCCCTGACATTATTTCAATAAACTTCTCTATGGTTTCTTCAGTTTGTGTCTCTTCCAGATTGAAGTATGCTAGATATGTAGTCCTTACTCATACATTAACTGACTTATTATTTTTGATCCTCCTTTTTTGTCCTACTCCTCATCTTGCCCCCTTGCTCTTGTTGCTTTATTTACTTTAAAGATGAGCTGTCTAACTTAGGATGATAATTAATCACTTTCAAACTATGATTGCTTGTGATGTTAGGACTGCTTTTTCTCAAGAAGTAGAAATTCACTTTTCCTCCATGCTGAATTTCACCTATTAGTCATTTACAGGACCAATTTAGGATTCTTCTATATTTATCTACAAATTATTAATTTTTCTCTAAATAGCTTAATAACCACAGGTACATAAGTGGTATTATTCCCACCTTGTTTTTCAGCTTTTTTTTGTCACAGTTTTAAATTTAATAGGTTAAGGTGTGAAACTTGAAGATTACCCGTGATTACAGAAAAAACTGAACTCTTGTTGTGTAACCAACACCCCCAAATTTTCTATACATTGTCATACATGTATTTTATAGTATATAGAAGGTATTATAAATTGCCAAACTTCCTGTACATGTATAAAATAATCACAATTTTCTGTAATACTTTACTTGTCATGAATCATCTATCACTGGGGACTGATCTACTTCAGTTTATACCCTACCTTACTCATTAAAAAGAGGGGTGAGGTCATATGTACCTATCAAACATATTACATTATACAAAGTAGACAGAAAGAATATTAAAAGCTTGACACGTCTTTCTCCTACAGCTACACCTTGCAGAGTTTTTACAAGAATCAGTGTATTGCTGTCCAGTCTTATTTAACCTTTATAGGTAAGTATTTTTCCTGCTTCAAAGGGTATTGTGAGATAGTAGACAAAACAGTAGGCTAGAAGTACTTAGTACCCATTTTAGTTGCTGTTGCTAATCATTCAATGCATTCACTACCATTCCATTTAATTCATAGCACAAGTTAGCAATCATGCTGAAGCAACCAGACTCTTTTTCCAAAACTGCAAAATCTGACCCATGATCTTAGCTTAGGAGGTATCTATGTGTTTATTACACAGTCTACTGATTCAAGAATTATGTTCTATTTTGTGACTAGGAGATATTTGAATTTCAAACAGGATACACTTTCCAAGATTTAATAAAAATTGATAATTAGAAAGATATTTGTGGTTTATAACAGGAAATCCAAAACAAAATAATCTGTAGGCCTTACAGGAAAAATAATATGATGACTTAGAAAGTGAGTAGACGTGAAATCTTACTTTGAACCTTTGTGGATTTTTCTGCTGTCCACTGAATTTCTCACCTAAGGAAAAAAAATAGGCAAAGTAAAACTTTGTGAAAGAAATAATAAATTATGTTAGAGAATTTACACTAAAAATTGTCACAAGCAAGTTTTACTTTTTATTTTGAATCCAAGTGGAAAGAACATTCTGTACATTGAGTATTTAATGTCTAAGAGGAAAAGAGTTCTATGCAATTAAAAAGTACACCTTTTTTCTTAGGTTTCATTCTATATAACAGTAAATCCATGTAATAAAAAGGCAAAAGAATTATCCCTCCAATCATGACTTATAAAAACATAAACTCAATCTTCTTCAGTGGACTGAAATAGATACTCGTTTTCATTGTGGAGAAAGAAACAGAAATAGACTTCATAGAATCATGAACTATGTTTAGATTTTTGCACACAATCAATAAGTATTTTCAATTTCAAATTAAGAAAATGAAAACACAAGAACTTAATTCAATACTTAGCTAATGCAATGAAAAAATTTACAGACACTCCCTCTAAGAGGTCTAAAGGCAGCTCTCAAAGGGAATTGCCTCTCCAAAGGTGCTGCACTTTTCTATTAACAGAAATATTTTCTTCCACAGGATCTAACAATGACAGAGGATTTGTCAAGTTCAAGACAATGGCGGAATGTCTTCAATTTGTGTTCTGAAGTGCAGCTGAATATTTTAAAGCCAATATTCGGTTGCTTAATTAATTGAAAAATAATCACAGAACCATTATTTACAATGGAGAAACAGAAAAGGATTTTTTTGTGGGTTGTGGTTTAGGAATGGTGCTGCCCAATTTAATGTCCCCACCAAGACTCTCCCAAACTAGACACCACTTTCTTGTTTCCCCTCTCCCTCCCACTTCCTGCTCTAGCTTGGAGTTGATGACTGGAAGCACAAGAAGTGAAGATCATTGGTTGAGATAAGAACAGTTTACTAGAAACAGCAGTGAGAAAAAACAAAAAGCAACAACAGTCATATTAATAAAATAAGTATACAAAAGAGAGGGTGATTCACATTCAAAAATGCTTACAATGGACCTGGAGACAATGAACAATGGCAGATGATGCCACCACGGTGGTTTTTGACAGGAATCCAAATCCTTCTTTTTGGAAGCCAGAGAGAGTCCCTTCCCCCCATGCACAAAACTGGGGCAATGGCTTTGCAAATACCACAGACAGGGTCTTCTGTTAATTAGAAATCTTTCCTTTGTTATGTTTTCCACACTCGATTTACTCATCCTCAATTTTCTACCAAAATTTCTATTGCTTTATTATTCAGTCTTAAAAGAACCGGGGTAGAGAGAGCTGTTACTTTAACAATGATTTTGCTGAACACACTTCTGAGGCAGCCAAATTCTTCGAACAACTTATCTATTTCATGTGTTTTGCATAGAAACCAGCAGACAGTTCCTTGGCAAGCACACACATATTCCAGATTCTAGAAATTAAAGTAATGTTATAGGAACCTGGTCAGTATGTTGAAGCCTGTGGAGAGAAGTGAAACTGATTTTGTGTTCTTGCAGAAGGCCTCTTTATGTCCACCACAAGGCAATCAGGTTTTCCTGCATTCCCTGGCTACCTCTACTCTCCCATCTCACAGGAGTGGAGGATGGGCTGGCTTAGGTGTACGTCATCCTCCTGGACCTTGTGCTGGAACCTTGCCCATAGCTGGGAAGCAGAGGGTAGATCCCCTGTACACCATGCTGACTTATCTATCCCATAGTGTGCCCACATTGCTGGCCAAAGAAGAATAAGCAGAAGAAATATGGTTAAATCTAATTTTCATTCAGCTTACAGGACCACAGCAGGAGATACAAAAATGGAAGGAAGGTAATTCAAATCTAAGCATTTGTTCTCTGTGCAGCAGATGCCTCAGGGCCCAAGAGGAGACACTGCAACAATCAACACATTTTTTGTTCTGTTTTTCCCTTTGTACTTTCATTTTTGATGGAGGTGTCTGTGCCAGGCTAAGCTCGATAGAGCAGCTTCACTGTTTGTTCATTTTAATCTGGTCCTGATTCTTGCTCTGGTTCATAGATCCTGAGGATAATCTGATTTTATGTCTCCATAGTACTTTTACTGTATTCTTGAAGACACCCAAGGGAAAAATATTCTAAAATGCTACTAGTAATATATTATGATATATTTTATTATATTTTTTGTTTGTTTGTTTGTTGTTGTTGTTTGTTTTTTTTTAATTTTAGGAAAATGCACTGGGAGGTGTTCTTAAAGACAGACCATGTAAAAGTTGCTCTTCACAGAAATATTGTTTGCAAGAGTGGAAAAAGGCTCTCTTAGGAATGGGGAAACCATAAATTAGTAGAGATGAGAAGAGTAAAAAAATTAACACCACATCTGAGTAATTTTTTTTTTTTGTCTATCATCTACTCTGGAAGCAGGTCAGCATGACTCTGGATTTCAATGCAGTTTCCACCCTTTTGCCACATACTTCCAGGTGCCTTGTAGCAAAATGTGTAATAAACAGTAGTTCCCATTTAAAGCTAAGAGTGGTTTTTACTCTAGGTTCTCCTTTCCTCAGTAATTTCAACACAAAAGAAAAAAATGTCAACCCTCCAAATACCTCCCTCCCCCTCACCTAAAGGGAAAATTTTGAAAATACTTAGATGAATGAATAATTTTTCACATGTGAATAGTCAAAGTGAAATTCTACTGACAGGGTAAAATACATAAATTATACATGATTTAGCTTCTTCAGTAAATATTGAATGCAAGTGACCAACTGAGTGTTAAATATATTGAGCAAAGGAATGTCACTGTGCTCTAAGGCAATTTAGGACATATATTTCCAAAAACATAACAATAAATAAAACAAGTGTATTTTAAGAAGACTTGAGACGAAAGGTATATTTTTAGAAAATTAAATTGTATATATGCTACCATTGAATAAATAAAGTATCTAGTGGACAATCAGTGGGTACAACCTTTATTGTACTTGAGAGATGAAATGTTAGTAAGATAAAAGAAGAATTGTCTGCTACTAGAAAGTTTTCTGTTCCGTTTGTAAGAGTATTTTAAAAACATCAGTTCACATCTTCCTGGAGACCTCCACTGCTGAAGAGATAGGGTTTTGAATTTGCCCTTTATGAAGTCCTTCCAGTAAATGATATAATGGTTTCCATGTATCATTCTTCAGTCTTTTCTTTCTCTTCTTCTCATATTTCAACAATTCCCGTCCTCTCTCTAGTGAAAGGAGCTACCACTTAGAAATTCTTTGTTGGCTTTAGAGCATACTGGTGTTTCCATTAATTTCCCTTTTGAATTTTTTTAAAATTACTTTTTAATTTTTTTTTATTTATTTTCCCTTATTTTAAGCTACACTGTCTTCAGTATCAAGTCTCTTTAGCAGACTTCCTAACCCATTTTTCTTGCTCCATCTTTCAATGACAGTCTTTCACAGAAAAGCTAGTATTCAAAAAATTTCCCTCAATCTTTATTATTTTTTAGTTTACTTATAAATGAAAAAGCCTAAATATGCAATTTCTCTTCAAGCAGTAACTTCCACAGAAGCACTGCACCAAAGTCTGCAGCCTAGTACCAGTATTAGTTTTATCAGTTACAGCTCCACTACTTTCCGTGGTATTGCACCTTTTGCCTGTTGGTCTAATTATCAGTAAAATGTTTAGTATGAGGCCAAAGTAATGACTATAGGAACATATTTTTGTTTTTCATAATAGGTATTAATTAAGTAATCAAACAGCTGACTTTTTTGTATTTCTGCAGAAGAAACAGCTTACTTATTGCAAATGCACAATTACACTGAGGGCTACTAGAGGATAAATGCAGTGCACATTTAGAACACAGTCTTTCTCAACAGTGATGCTATGAAACATTTATGAACACTGAAGTCTATACACATCAGCAAGCCTGCTAAAATTGAAAAGAGCTCCTTACTCATGCAAAAATAAGCAGATGCTTAAGTGTTTGCAGGAACAAGTTTTAATTTCTCTCAATGGGTATTGGAAAGATCCACTGCACAGGGATGAACTTCAGTCAATAAACTGATTAACAACAGTAACATACACTGCAGGGTAGTGTATCCACTCCAGAAAAATTAATTTAAATAGTGTTAGCTGGGGTCTGATCAGTGACATGTAAAACCTTAAATCTCTTAGGATATATTGCATTATAGAACAATGTCAGTAAGTGTTTTACAGCAATGACTTGTTTTCCTATCTTGTGTAGGACATGTCAAGACTTTTCTACCTAATAAAGGTTACTATTTTGGTTCATTTCCTCCAAAAAATATATTGCTCTTGTTTTCCTTCTAAAAATATGTTTCCAGTCATCTCCTCAATTTGCTTCTACATTTTCTTATTGTGCTATGTTCTCTGTCTAATTTCTGATGTTTTGATCTTCCCCAAGTCTGGCTATTAGAAGAGAAATCTTAGAACTATTTTTGAACATCCTTTCTAATTTACAAAATTATTTGTAACTGGAGACACATACATAATTTAATCTGTATCCTTATTTAATAGTCTATCTTGATATTGCCATTCATGATATCTGCATTTCAGTATTTCGTTTTGACTTTGCAAACTCATTAAATGCATGTAAAAATCTGAATTACAATATTCACCACTCTTCTGTTAGTGTAGAGAAGTTGTAGGATTGGTTCCAAATTTTCTGAATGCAATGGATGAATTTTCCTGAGCCACAAGATGTGGTTTAAATCAGTCCACTAACTAGCACCAGAAAATGATTTAAAATATGATTTTTATTTCATATTTATTCCAGAAACCCCTGTATAAATAGTAGCGTTACAATTGCTCCATTATGAAAGCCTGACCCCTTAGTACCTGTTTTTTCCCTTGAGAAGAAAGTGGTCACTTATTCAATATAATTTCTGTCTAACATATTCTTAAAAGATAAATCAATCACATTAAATTTTTAATTTCTGTACATGGTGCTTGAACTTCTCTGCCATTTTACAGCACTTGCACTTCTATTTCTTATGATAAAATACCATTTCTTTGTGTGTTAGCTTCTCTTTACAGCCAAA